ATATATATATATATATATATATATATATATATATATATATATATATATATAATAAGTGCATGTGATGGTTGCATTGCTTAAAAATCGCACTCTATACTACTGATAAAATTATCCCTCATACATCATTCTCAGAGGACAGTGGCTCTGCCTAGATCCTCCTCCTGACTATGAATAGTGTGAGTCCTGCTCTAAAGGGGCATTAATATCTTCCATGCTGTCCCCATTGTCTTCATGGTGATTCACTGTATGCTATGACAACAATATGTGTTATTACAGTCAAAGTGTTGAGGCCAAACTCCCAATTCTGGCCTCACTGATTACATGTAAAAAACGAATGATCACAGAGAAGGACATTTTTCATACCCTGTAGTTAATATTATCAGGCAGTTAGTAAGTGGTAAGAACTGGGAGCCCTGGATTCTAGCGTAATTGTGATCTGTGAAATGGCTAGTCCACAGTGAATAGTGAAGACAATCTGGATATTCTGAATATCCCACAGCGAGTTTTGAGAAAAGCAAGATTATGCAAGATGACCACTTCAGAGGTTAAAAACACGTGCCTTTTCCCCTAATGTACTCGTACTGGTTGTACCTAATGATCCATGATGGAATTATCATTCATCAATGTATCTAACATTTTGCAAACTGGGTTGTAGATCCAACCTAAATTAATTCCTGAGGTAATGGTTTTCATTGATCTATAAACATCTGTGTAAATAGGAGAAAATTACATTGAACTATCTTTGACTACCTCTCCTGGGATGGTGATTATACATAAATATGTATATACACAGACACATATACATATAGTGTTTTTTAAACTGTGTTAACTTTTGAACGCCCACATTGAACCTTCTCTAATTTTATCATTTGTTGCCTATGTGTCCTTACATATTTTTGAGGGGATTTTCTGTAAGTTTTATACTATCAGCTTAACATTTAATTGTTCAGCTTGAAGTGGTCTCAGTGCCTGTGAGCAATTTTCAATATTTCAAACATCCTAAGTAAATTCCTAGACTGTATTTCATAAACTATCTCATTAGTACTTAAAGGTTCACAATGTGATGTTCTCAGATCTCTAGGAGTCCACAAAGCTGTAATGTTGCTTTTTGTTTGTTTGTTTGTTTTTGGTCAGCTAAAACAGCAATTTTATAGTCCAGCGTGTTTATAAAATATCTAAGAAATATTTAAGAAATAGAACAGTCACAAAATCAATCTCTAAGGAATTCTGTCCTTTCTAGTACCTCATTCAGAGAGGGGTTTAGACACATATAACTATGCAAATAAACACACCAGACAATAAAGCTTTCACGGCTGGCAGCTCTACCCTCTGACCTGTATAGATGTCCCAACACCTCCTGGTAAAAAGCTGTTCATGTGTAACACTGTAAATAAATCTTCACTGGCTATATGAACAGTTAGATTTTATGACAAAACTAAAGTTTTTGAAAAATAAATCTAAGACTGCATTCATTGGCAGGATTCAGAAAAGCACAAGATTTTTCTAGGCCTTGATTTGATTTTTAATCCTATAACTTAAAATACTTGGATCCTCAGAGGCACACTATGAGATCAGTCAAGTCAGCAGGAGTATTCCTATAGCTATCTCCAACCAGCATGAGGGATACACAATGCAGAGTCCCTGCAACACGTTATGGCTCTAAAACCTTCTTGTCTAGTATTTAAGTAAAGAACATCCTTCTGCGTGTGAAAGTCAGAAATCCCAATTGCAGCCCAAGTGGACAAATATCAGAATAGCACTGGGTCAAACTACTTTTATGGAAGGGGATTTCTCTTGTCCCCTGATGGCAACGGTAACTGTTTACTTCACTGTACACAGCCTCAGGGAGTTCCTAACATACTGTACTGGTGTCTGATATCAGGGGCTCCTCCATTTTCAGTAGAGAGGTAGAAAGGAATCTGCGTTCTCAAATAGGGTTTATATCCACACAGTGCTGGAATGCAGCAACTCAGTTACCAGAACACTTTCTTATCCCAAATTTTTGTTGCAATATGTCAGTTTTTAAATTTATATTTCAAACACAGGCACAATAGAGCATGCTTTTGTTTGCTTTATGTCACATTCAAGTAATGTGTTTAATGCATAAATGTGTACCAAAATGTCTTAATCATCTTCACTAACACTTAGCTGCATGTGTGTGTGCACATGTGACTAAATGTGTGAAATAAGTTACATAAAATATTCAAACCATAATATACGACATGGCTTTATATATAAAACCACCTATACAGAGGGTGCCAAAAAAATGTATACACATTTTAAGAAAGGAAAAAAACTATTAAAATTATGCTGATGGTAACCACTTAGAGCACCTTGTGTAATTGCAAATGTCAAGCGTGACTTGTATTAATCTTTTATTATCAGTATATATTGAGTATTACAATTTTAATAGTATTTCCTTATATATATTTCATTTCTATATATATATATTTAAATTTACGTTTTAATGATTGTAATTGTGGGGTACATAATTATCGTGAACACTGCTCGGGGCTGTGGAAGTAAATGAAGATCACAGAAAATCAGCCAAGTAAAAAATGCTTTATGACTCCTCATTAAGTAAATGTGTTTACTTTTCATTTACTACAAGCAGGTTTTCTAAAATGTAAATTAATATTTATTTTATTTTTTATTGTTTGCGTACATACTGTAGCCCACTTTAACCACGCAAACTCCAATGGGCTGATATGAAATTATTTGGTTCTAATTTAGAAACAAAAGTAATGAAAGTTGAGAGAGAAGAGAAATCTAACTATAAAAATAAGGAAAAAAAAAAAAAAAAGGAAGACAGAGGTTTTCAAAAGCATTCAAAGAACAATCACCTACCAGTTCTACTCGTCCGAAGCCTCCAACTCCAAGGGTGTCAATGATGTTGAAATCAGACAGCTTCAGGTTGGCGAAGAAAGCAGCTTCGGCTTCATATCTGGATTTTTTGATGCGAAAAAATGGAAATTTCTTAGAGGTGCAAACACGAGAACCACGTACAACTGTACTGGAATGACATGACTGTGGAACAGGGTTTACCTGCTTAAATTCCATCTTGCTTTTAGAGTCTGTGTTTTCTCACACTCATAATTTTTTTGGCCCCAGTTGTGCAGAATAACATAGATTTGCACTTGTTTTTCAAAGGAGAAAAATACAAAGTACCCACTGCATGCCGGTCATGTGGCTGATAAATCCAGTTATCAAATCAAAGTTACATCTTGGTATTTTTCTACGAGTCTTCTTGTGAGCCCGGATTGTTGGAGTTGCTCTTTCTTGGTTTTGTTTTGGATTTTTTGGTTTTGCTTGGTTTTGTTTTTGCCGTTCAGATTTTGGATGGCAGTTTCTCATTAGTTTCCTTTATCCACAGGCTGGCAGTGGCTCCTATAAATATTTGCTAAAAGCAGCAAGATCTCTGAGGTCTCTGGAGTGAAATCACAGCCAGGTTTTATGAAAACAGATCCGAAAAGCTGAGGACTGATGTGCAAATGTCTGAGATGGATGATTTCGGAAGCATATTCACATTCCTAAAAAGTATCTTCCCTTCATTTATATTTACTCACTGACTCTCAGCTAGTAATACCAGTGCCTTTATGTTTGCAAGTTTCTTATATGAGTGGTGTGGAAAAGCATGGATTCTGTTCCAAAAGTCTAACTATGCACACATGCAAATCTGACACATGCGAGTGGCCAAAATAAGCTTCTCCTGATGAGACAAGTGAATATGAGATGCTTAAAATATCTCCTTGTTAAAGGCCCTACTATTTTTAGAAAGGGCAGGAAGGCATAAAGATGAAGATGATCTTCCCCCTCACTAAAGTATTTGAATAGCTATGTGGAGCCCATGACCTTCAGCCAGGCGGTACCTGATTCCGAGTTACGCTATAGATAGACATGATGAACACACTTGAGATTATACAGCTTGTTTATGTCAATTTTTGGATAGACTCATCCACAGGCATGTCTGGCATTAGCTGTATAACATTTTCACTATTCCATTATAATCAAGCACAACTTTAGTCTCCCCACTTGGGAGAAATGTGCTACAGCTTTCTAGGTGAGTTTTCAACATTCTCTAGTTTACAACCACAGTTCTAGTTTTTAAGCAGTCACTTCTCGATAGACTCATGAGAGGGCAAAAACAACATTGTTTTTCATTATTGGCTGATTATAGGAAATCAACTCTCTCTTAAAAAAACCTCTATGTACCTGGCTACTTGTCAATCCTAATGGTATTAGTAGACTTTTCTCATTAACTACACAATCAAGAGATAGACAGTTATTCAGGAGATGGTTTATTAAAATGGAAAATAGGCAGCAAATGGACATTTCTAGCATTCCAACTGCATCACTACTTTTGGAAAATTAAAACTCCATCCCATTTAAAGGGCCAGTGGAAGAGTTCATGCCAACAGGTGCTTAAAAAGGACATCTGTTGGGATTAGAACCCATGACAGTTTGTATGTGGTCAAGCATTTCTTGGTGGTCTAGATAATCAAATTCTTAATGAGATCATATTTGCATTTGCAAAATGCATTTGCTGGATTTAGAATCTCAGCTACGAAGAGGGTAAACTCTTTCAGACTACTTTGATACTATTTTATATCTCTACAGTATGATGTTATCACTTGCAGCTCTTGAAAGAAACCCCAAAATTCTTACATTTGGTCTCTGTGAAATTAAGCTGGAAACATCTCTAACCAAATGATCTTCAGCCTCTTCTTACACATCAGAACTACCTGAGCATCTTTTAGAAACCACTGAATTTGGGTCTCACCACAGACCAAGTGAATCAGAAATCTCTGGAAGCTGTACCCAAATGCCTGTATTTTTTTAAAGCTCCGCAGTTGATTCTGATGCACAGTAAGGGTTGAGAACTGTAGTTCTAACCCCTCTGAAAACCCAGGAGGTTCCATAAACAACAAAAGAATTTTGGGGTGGATTCAAATAGTTTAGGGAAAATAATAGCTGCCCAGTGAGTCTAGGGGGTGATGCATCCATGCCAAGAGTGTTGGGGCTCTTATAACTGGGCCCTGGTTCCTGACTCTCTGTTTCTAGACCCATAGGAATGAACAATAACTCTATGAAGGCTTACACAGATATAAATAAATAAATATACAAATAAATAAATAAGCAGTGACATTGCTAAAAAAGACAAACAGAATGCAAAAAGTATAAGGCAGTTAATTTGTCTTCACATTTTACAGCAAAATCCTCTATGTTTTATTCACTATCTGATTAATTACTGATGGTCTTTTAATTACTGGGATGGGCATATTAAATCTCATGTTAAATAGACATTTTCTAAGCAGCCATTAAAATTCACTTACATACATACTGTCCCATACATTAGAAGCACTAATTACAGTTAAGTAAAATATCTCATATGTTTTAATGAAAAAAGATTGATAGCATTGTTTTTCATACTTTGATAATCTTTGCTAATTACTTTGCTAATGTTACTTTGTGAATTTTTAAAATACTGCCTAGCTGGGTGATTTTATCTAGTGGTTGGTGAGTTATAATTGGAAGGGGCCTTTGGATAACTGTGCTCTTGATACTGCATTGTGTTCCTATTTGTTTCCAATCCGGATTCTTGGTGAAGTCGAACAACATAGGAATACTGCTATAGCAATTTTTTCATTTCCAACTAAGGGAATGTTGTAGGTGCTTAATATTTTATTGCATTTATTTTTTTCTCATTTAAATTACTCTTTAGGGACAAAATCACATCTTCATCACAGAAACTCTATATACATTTCCATTTTTTAATACTTTTTCTAACAGAAATAACCTGAAGACAACTCGGTAAAAAAGCTAAACTATGGATGATTTAGCTTCTTCAGGTATCAACCCACTTTTGCTCAAAGCATGGAGGGGCATTTTCATTCTTTCTTTTAACTCAGGAATTATTAATAGAAAATCTGAATCCATCAATTATGTCCTACTTTCTTTATAGTTGATAAAAAGTTTGAGTGGGTAAGAAGACTAAATAAAATGTTAAGTAAGTGGACCCTGTTGTGTTAAACAAGCTTCATTTGGCTGAAAAAGGTAAATGTGGAATTCAAGTTCCTAACTTATTATTGTGGGGTACTGGGTCAAAGGAGTTAGGCCCAGCTTCAAGTAATTCTAAAATTCATCTGTGCAACAGTGTTTAGGGAAGGGACCATTCCCAAGTACTAAGGAAAATACATCAGCAAGACATATAGTTCCTGATGCTTGGTTGCTTTAAATCTAGCAAGGAGCATAAAATATATTTTCCAATGGTCCTTAACTTAGTTTGAGATACCAATTTTTTAAAAGTTTGTTTATTTGTCTGTTTGTTTATTTATTTACTTAGCATGAAGTGAAAGCTATGGGTATTCTACAATTATTGACATACCCTTTCTAAGTGTAACATCAGGAGCATACAAACTCCTAAAATACGTTAGCAACACAAAATTAACTAGACTACAAGTGAATAAGTCTGTTGGGTGAAAAAGACACAGATAACATTGTTTCTCAAACACGCCTGACCATAAGATTTATCTGGGGCTTTGGTGATTAGGGCTTACAGACAATCAGGCTACTCTTTAAATAGTGAAAACACTGAACTTTTCTTTTAAGAACTGCTGAAAAGGAACAGACTTATCTAGATTTTTGCCTTCTGCCTGTACACCAAAGGAGGTTCCAAAAAACAATGAAAATGTAAAGCTGATATAAAGGTATAAAGGTAAAAGGATGATGAGACCAAGATATACATATATAGTCTAGTAATAGAAAAACAGTACTGGAATAATCTCTATCTCTTTCTGAAACTATGGATCTGTACAGTATTCACTGTCGTTAAGGAGTAGGTCATAACCATTAGCTCTTTTTTCCCCATCTCATCCAACATTACCAGCTTCTACAAAACCAAGGAGTAAGAATGAGGTGTCCTTTGTTATTCACTGCTGTTGTTTTCCCATTGTTTCCATGCATCCATGAATCAATTCTGCCATCATTTTTAAATAACAGAATTGAATTCTATACCTTATGACAGATCATTACTTTTTTGGCATTTTTTATTAGTTTCAGGCGATGACTGATCATAATTATTAAGAAGTGAACATCTCTGGCAATATAGTGGAAACCAAATATGATGATTTAACCCAGTATAAAGTGTATGGAGCTTAAAATTTTATCTTCACCTTGTTATTACAATAACAGAAATCATTGAGCATCATTTTACAAAGCAGGCAATATTATGTGCATTTTTTAAAGTAAGGGCCAAGGATCCAAAGGAATACAACAATAGTTCCAGGTAGGTTACAAAAGCCAGTAATTAAAAGCTAATGAAACAAAAGGCTAGTGTGGCCCTATTTGCTATAGTCCAGCTCATTTACAATCCAAATTAGCTTCAGAAGTCTATGTAAGGGTCTCCAAGGAAAACCAATATTATTATTAGCATCCGCTAATCCACATGCAAATCAATTACGATAGCTTTGCACAGGTTCATCTACTGAGTTGTATTCTTATGTCCTGCTGAGTTTAGCTTTATCAGTTTTGGAGGGAAACCTACAAAAATAAAATGTTTCAGTAAACACACATGGACTCTCATCTATGACTAAGTTCCTTATTCCATAGCTGTAATAGGTAACATGAGATTCAATCAGACAATTAATGTCTACTCTGGACTTAAAAATCATGTAAGAATGCATCACAGCCTACAGAAAAGCTCATGACTTGTAGTTCTGGCTCTTGTCAATGACTTTGTACTTTCAAGTCCTAGTTTCTTCAACATTTAGGCTTTTGTAGAAGTATCTACAAACATACACTAAAGTAAGTATGAATTTTGTAGATAGTTTTAAGTCAGAATCCTCATTCACTTAAATGTTCATATAAATGCCTAGAAACCTTTCGCTTTTTCTTATCAGAGGGCACTGCAATCTATCAACTTCTACAGAAACAGTTAACAAGTGG